AGAAGAAATAGGACCCTTATGGAAATGGTTAGATCATTGTTAAGTTATTCCGATTTGCCTTCTTCCTTTTGGGGATATGCTTTAGAAACAGCAAATTACATTCTAAATTTTGTTCCTTCAAAGTGAGTACCTTCAACTCCAGTAGAATTGTGGACTGGGCGCAAGCCAAGTTTACGGCACATTCGGGTTTGGGGTTGTCCAGCACGTGTGCTGAAAGGGAAAGCGGATAAATTGGAATCAAGGACAGAAGTATGCATATTTATTGGATATCCAAAAGGAACTAAAGGCGGTTTGTTTTATTTTCCCAAAGAAAAAAAATTAATTGTTACGACAAATGCCAGATTTTTAGAAGAGGATATTTAATAAACCATATTCCTAGAAGTAAACTAGTTTTACAGGAATTAAGTAACTGAGTAACTAAAGACTCATCTCTAGAACATATCCCGAAAGCCAGTATTGACATACCACTGCATTATCGTAGTGGGAGAAATGTCAATAGGCAGCAGATTGCACAAGAGCAATTGCATGACATCTCACTACACCAAAGTAGTGGGAGTAATGTTGAGCAACCTCAGATTGTTGGGCAACCTTAGATTGTTGAACAACTTGAAATTGTTCTGCAGCCTGCACTCCAGGAAGAAGTTAATGATATCCCAGCACCACAAGGTGTGAAAGATAACATTGAAGCTTCAGTTCCAGAAAATGATGTCGTGATTCAACAACAAAATCATACTCCACCTGTAGTGACTAGTCGTAGTGGGAGAATTATTAGAAACCTCTCCAATTTGCGCTCTTAGGAGAATCTTATGATAGAATCTCTGAAGAGCCTAATACAGAACCTATTAATTACGACGAAGCACTACAGGATACAGATTCTGATAAATGGGCTGATGCTATGAAATCTAAAATGGAGTCCATGTACTCCAATCAAGTCTGGGATCTTGTAGAACCACCTACTAGAGTCAAACCCATTGGTTGTAGATGGATCTATAAGAAAAAGAGAGCAGTGGAAGGAAAAGTGCAAAATTTTAAAGCTAGGCTTGTTGCAAAAGGGTTTACTCAAAAAGAAGGGATCGATTATGAGGAAACCTTTTCCCCTGTAGCCATGCTTAAATCCATTAGGATTATTTTATCCATTACTGCTCATTACGATTATGAGATCTAGCAAATGGATGTCAAGACTGCTTTTCTAAATGGAAGTCTTAATGAGTGCATCTATATGGCACAATCAGTTGGTTTCATAAGAAGTGGCAATGAGAACATGTTGTGTAAATTAAAAAAATCCATTTATGGATTGAAACAAGCTTCTAGAGCATGGAACACTTTTTTTGACGCATCGATTAAAACCTTCGATTTTGATCAATGTCAAAATGAGTCTTGTGTCTATAAGAAGTGGGATGGACATAAAGTTACATTTTTGGATTTGTACGTAGATAATATTTTGCTCATAGGAAATAATGTGAGCATGTTGAATTCAGTAAAGAAATGGTTGTCCTCGCGTTTCAGTATGAAAGACTTGGGATAGACAGTACATATCCTTGGGATCAAGCTTATGCGAGATCGCAAACAAAGGATAATAGGCTTGTCCCAAGCACTTTATATTGATACTATTATCACCGGGTTCAGCATGCAAGATTCCAAGAAAGGCTTTCCTTTAGACATGGAATCTCTCCGTCGAAAGATCAGTCCCCAAAAATGACTGATGAGATAGAAAATATGAAGGCGGTTCCTTACGCTTCTGCTGTAGGGAGTCTCATGTATGCTATGCTATGTACTAGACCTGATATCTGCTTTGCTGTTGGCATGGTTAGTATATATCAGTCTAATCCTGGATGAGAACACTGGACTGTCATTAAGCATATAATCAAGTACTTGAAAAGGACTAGGGATTATATGTTGGTGTATCACTCAGGTGATCTTGCACCCATTGGCTATACTTATTCAGATTTCCAGTCATATAGAGATTCTAAAAAATCTACCTCAAGATATGTTTTTACCTTAGGAGGTGGAGCCATAAGTTGGAGGAGTATCAAACAATCATGTGTTGCTGATTCCACCATGGAAGACGAATATGTGGCTGCATCTGAGGCAGCTAAAGAGGTTGTTTGGCTCAGGAACTATCTAAAAGAGCTTAATGTAGTTCCTTCGGTTCAAACACCGATTGTACTTTATTGTGACAATAGTGGTGTAGTTGCAAACTAGAAGGAACCAAGAAGCCATAAAAGGTGTAAGCATATTGAGCGTAAATATCACTTAATTCGGGACATAACTCAGAGAGGTGATGCAAGAGTGTTGAAGATTGCGTTAGAGGAGAATTTGGCAGACCCGTTTACAAAGAGCTTGACACAGAAGATTTTTGACAAGCATGTAGAAGGAATGGGTATTAGATTAGTAGACGCATAGTTATGAGTCTAAGTGGAGATTGTTGGGATATACTATTAACCATGCGGTTTAGACATAGTATTTTGTTTTATTCTTTATGGAACAATTATTTATTTAATTTATTCAATTCAATAAAGCACTATTTTAAATAGATCATTTGTTACATGTGTGTCCTTTTAGTTATGTAGCGGACAATTTAGTGTATGAAGTCTTAGCTCATGCACAGAAGATTAAATTGTCGGTTCTCATAATTAATAAACTATGTTCACAATCAAAGATATTATTGGATAAAATATCTTGATGATTGTAGCACAAGATTATAGTATAATTTGTCTTGATTATGGGAGTGGTTTTATTCCGACTTCTTGTGCTAGTATACTTAGTGTATATTGAACAAACCAAGTAGAGAAAAGATGTTTTTGTACTGAATATATATAAAATATTTNATATATATATATATATATATATATATAATATTTTCTCTAATTCATTAAATGAGCTTATACTCCTAATCTTGATATAATTATTATGGTCAATGTAGTTTGTTTATTGTTTTGATTTATCAAAAGGTACGACTCTATTCAAAGTTAGTGTATGCTTAATAGATTGGACAATAACGAATAACATTTGTGAAGTAATAATTAGGTGATAGAATCCATGACTCGGTTTTGAGTTTGATGATACCCCTTTATGTAAGCTTATAAGTTTTCATGTGAAAATCCGACCAGTGGATTTTGTATCCCTCACATGAAATAATTTAAGCGGAATTGTAATGGATTTAATTAGTTGATTAAATTAAATTTTCAGTGATTTAATTTAATTAACTGGTATTTGAGATCTTAACATGGGAAGTTAAAATAAGTGTTACTGAATTTTCGAAATTCATATTGAGGAGTTCAATTTCAGTTTTTAGTGGATTAAACTACAATTAATTATAGTAAGAATTTTTTCATGCTAATTTCGAACTAATGCTATAATTGGTAGCCTCTTATTATTTTTGTGGTCCCTGTTATACCTAGTAAAAATCTGGATTTGACTTGGGTAAAAAGTGACTTGGGAGAAAAGTCATCTGGTAGAGTTGGAGTAGGATTCTACTTGTGAAAGCAGAATCCTACACGTGTTTGGAGCTAATTTTCGGCCAAAAACTAGTCTACTTAGAGAACGACCTAAGAAGTATTGGGGAGAGGTGATCAGGCAGGACATGGCGAGGCTTCAGATTTCCGAGGACATGGCCCTTGATAGGAAGCTGTGGAGGTCGGGTATTAGGGTCGTAGGTTAGAAGATAGTTGAGTCTTTCCTTACTTCGTCCCTTTGTGAGGCTAGTGTGGTAGTTTTTCTAGTCAGCTGGTGGTAATGTTGTGTCTTACTACTATTTTACTACTACTTCGTTCTTCATAGCGCCTGGTCTATACATTGTCTATCGTTTTTCCTTTGCATCTACTTTCTCATTTTCATGATATTATTTTTCCTACGTTTTCTATTGGAGGTACTGATATTGGGTCTTTGTGTTTTCGTCTTCTTGAGCCAAGGGTCTTTTGGAAACAACCTCCCTACTTCTTCGGGGTAGGGGTAAGGTCTGCGTACGCACTACCCTCCCCAGACCCCACTAGTGAGATTTTACTGGGTTGTTATTGTTGTAATTCACCTTTTAGAGTTGTATTGTTCTTGCCCACCCAAAAGCAAAAATCGTCCAAGGTTTTACTAGGCATATAGCAGAAGACTGCAGCCCTGGATTCTTGCTATGTGGAGGAATTGTGCAACGATTTCAAGAGGTTAGTGCTTCTAATCTAGTAATTATAGCGTTGTTTAGTTTATATGTATTTGATGCCTGAATTGTATGCTTGCTTCCGCTACGCATGTTCTAACAGGGGAGTAGGGGGTGGGTGGGATAGGAGGTGGGGTGTGGGGGAGTTGGTTGGGATGAGAATATGGTCGAGAAGGTTGAAGAAGAGTTTCGGAAAATATTTTACCTAAAACATTTTCCTCCAATTTTTACTTACAGCTTGTTTGGATGACTGTCACCTATTGTATCGTATCGTATTGTTACTTTAAATACAATGTTTGTTTTGATTGTTACTTAAATTTTATCGTATCGTATCGTTAAATCCGTCGTTACAAAACGACGAAAAGTATCACTTTATGCAACGGCCGATTTGGTGTGATCGCGCCATTACCTTATTTTTTCTCTCATGTCACCCTTCATTATTAATAAATATTCTTATTTTGTCATTTCCCCTATCTTTTTATATAATAATTCTACCTCGTATCATAATTTTTTTAATAATATTACAAGTTTATTTTCATATTGCTAGTGCGTGATATCATGAAATGATGACAAACGATACATTCTATCCAAACATTGTATTCGTCAAAGGATACCATACAATATAATATACTACGATATGATACATTATAAAACAATATGTAACAATGATCCAAACAAGCTGTTAATGTTAAGCGGTCTGGAACCGGATCACGGGCTCCGGTTAGAAAAAATGACCCGCCCTGTCCGGCTCAACCCCTATCCAGCCCGTCCCTTAGCGGGCCGGGCTGAACCGGGTCAAACCTGGTCTGTCGGTGGCCTGGCCTGGCCTGATTAACACCTTTACTTCTACTAGAGTTACAACCTTCCTTCTCTTTCTGCTAAACTCCGGCGCATTGAAATACCGCCGGCAATTACTAAGTAAAGGTCTGATCAGATCCCGGAGATCGATCCGAGTAGGAAAATGGATACTGGCGAAGCTAAGCGAACGCGAATCCCGTTCAAGGAAAGGCGTGAATGGGCCGATGTGAAGCCCGTTCCACAAGACGACGGGCCCAGCCCGGTGGTTCCAATAGCCTACACTGAAGACTTCTCGGAAACCATGGACTATTTCCGGGCAATACACTTAGCCGACGAGCGGTCTCCACGCGCCCTTCGGCTTACTGCTGAAGCTATTCAGCTAAACCCTGGAAATTACACTGTAAGTCTCTAACTGCAATTCCTCTTTCAGTTCTTTCCTTTTGGTTTTTATAATGCAGTATTTTGTGAATTTAGGTGGGATTATTTTTGTATTAATTGAACTTTTCGTGTATAAAAAGGGTAAAATTGCATCTTTGGTGTAGAATTGGAATCTGAACTTATATGTTAATGGAAGTTTGTGAGACAATTGCGTCGGAGTTTGTATAGCCCCTCTGTTTCGTTTTGTGTGCCTTAGTTTGACTGTCTACAAAGTTTAAGAATGTAAAAGGACTTTTGAATATTGTGGGCACAAAGCTTTAGAGTTGTTAGTTAATGGGTAATTTCATGTTTAGGTATGGCAATTCAGGCGAGTTGTGCTGGAGGCATTGGGTGTTGATTTACATGAAGAATTGAAGTTTGTTGATCGCATTGCTGGGGAGAACACAAAAAATTATCAAATATGGTAAGTTGAAAACTCCACACAGGTCCCTTCTAATGTAAAGGTGATGGAAAATGAATAGTTTGTTGACAAGTGATTTATATCATGAATCAAGGTTAATAGATATAACATGATCATACTGCTTCAAGTTGATGGGATTAGACAGTACGCGAGCAACTACCAGATACGCCATTATAACATATAAGACGAAAAAACGATAAGTAGAGACACTCGATTATTGAGTTCTGAATGCCTATTGTGTGGTAGAAGGAGGGAAATCATGAATTAGTGGTGAATTGGTCATTTTTAGTTAGTTAGTGCCCTGGAATTCCATTCTATTAGAAATAAAAATTAATGGCTCTAGCACAAGGTCGACAGGATTCATTGGGCTGAGAGATAAAGTTAGACATGCAGCTTTTCTATGAGATGTGCATGTTTCAAAGAAATTGCAGAACTTTATAAAATGTATTGTGTTTATGCTCTTGGAATATAAATGTTCATAATAAATATTCATTGGTGAGGGGAAATGATTGTTTTTAACCCTTTTCAGTATCTATGTATCTGCATATTATACTTGACTCCATGTTTTCCTTCACGGAGAAGGGAAGTGGGAAAGTTTGTTCCTCCACACAAGTTATTCTTGATCTGTTGAATTCCTCATTTTAATCTAATTATAAATATGTGCACAATGCCGAAGTTCTTCATAATAGAAACTTACAGGCATCATAGGCGATGGCTTGCTGAGAAGCTGGGAGCTGATGCCGTGACAAATGAGCTAGAATTCACCAAGAAAATATTTTCTCAGGATGCAAAAAATTATCATGCTTGGTCCCATCGGCAGGTTGTCTTTCCATCCCTTTTCTTTTTATTTGGGGGGGTGGGGGTGGGGGTGGGGGTGGGGGTGGGGGTGGGGGTGGGGGTGAAAATATAATACCTCTACCTGTTTAAAAGAAGCTCTTTTGCATGAGTGTATTTCATGTTACTAAATTCATGATCTAGATTATTCAAGTTCATGGAATTGATCCAGATCCTAGATAGAATTTACAAGATACTAAGGTCAATGGGAAAAGTCCCCGGGGCTTAGTTCAATTGGCAAAGGTTGAGGGACTTGTGACTTAGGTCACAGGTTCGAGCCCAAAGCCATGCAAATTAAGTCTACAATTTAAGCGGAGAAGGGTAGAGGGACAAGCCCATTATCCCCGAGTTTTGAAGGTTGTGGTTTGTCCCAAGGATTGGCCCTAGACAAATTTCTTCGTCATCCAAAAAAGAAAAGAAAAGATAGTAAGGTCAAAAAAGGGTGACATAGGATCTTATTAAATCTTAGGATCCCATGACAACTCATTACATTATTTTTGGGGTTTTGCTTCATTTTTTCTTAAAACATGTTACATGTAATCAATCCCAATTATATCTCTCCCTCTAATAGTGTTGTCAAATGTCGAAAAACTTTGAAAAGCCCCAAATTCTTCTTTGACTTCACAAGTGTAATTAAAGTAATATATTTCATTAAAAGCAAAGGGCAAGAGATGCCCGTATAAAAGAAGTATACCAAAAAAAAATAGGAAACCTTACAAAAAGACATAGTTTTCTATGAATGCCACCCAATCATCTATTCATAAGGGAACCTCATGGGTGCTCCAAAAAACAATAAGTGAAAAGAGGCTATTCCCCAAATAAATAATATAATTCTCTACTCCATCAAAAGCTCTCCTATTTCTTTCTCTCTCCATATGGTCCACATAAGTGTAAAGGAGCAACATCCCATGCTCTATAGAGTTGCGTCTTCTATTCTGTCTTTTGAAAGCCCAACTAAACATTGTGTCTTTCAGGGTGCCCGTCATTACCCACTCCATCCCAAGCCATCTCAAAATTTCCCACCACAAAAAAGATGCTATTCGACAGTGCAGAAGAAGGCGATTCATATCTTCTCTCGAGTCTTTACACATAAAGCACCAACTTACACAAGTAATCTTCCTCTTCCTCAAATTTGAATAATGTGGAAAGAAGCTCCTCCCCAATTAGGAGCTTCTTATAATAGGACTAAACGGAAAAAATGCCATTATCCCCGACACCGTATCTCCATGCATCATATTTCTCTTGTGAATATTATTGATTGTGAAGTAATCCAAGCAAATTTTGATATTCTTCTATCTCCCAGTCTTGCAAGTACCTCCTAAACCTTAAGTGCCACTGCACTTCTTCCCCCGGGAGGCTCCATATCTATGGACCAACATCTTCTTTTGGCTTGAAATATTGTACAGGTTCGGGTATGTGATTCTTAAATGTTGTCCTTGCACCACCTATGCTCCCAAAAGCTTATCCTACTCCCATCCCCCACTCTGATGAAATGTTCTCATCAAACTCTTCCTATCCGTTTATAATATCCTCCATAAACCGCACCCATCGGGAAGTGAAGCATTTTTAGTCCTCCACCCCCTTCCAAAACCCCGTACTTCTCCACAATCACCCCCCTTCAAAGAGCATCCACCTGTACCCGAGATCTCCATAACCACTTTCCTAGTAACTCCTTGTTGAAAACTCTTAGATCTTTTATCTCCATCCCACCCCAACACTTTGGTGTAGTAACAGACTCTCAATTACCTAGTGAAACTTCATCTCTCCAGTCTCCACTTGAGCCATGCTTTAGAAGTCCCTCTGAGGTTTTTCCAACTTTCATATTACGCTAGCTGGAGCGTGTAACAAAGACATAAAATAAGTGGAGACGCTTGGCAGTGTACTCTTAATTAATATCTCTTTTGCCAATCTGCAGGCCTCTTTTCTACCCCCTCTATCACCGGGTTCCAAACTGCTAGGTCTTTATTAGATGCTCCCAGCGGTAGTCCTAGATAAGTTGAAGGAAGAGCCGCAATCTTGCAATTCATCACTTGCGCTAGGACCTCTATATTCTCAACCTCGCCCACCGGGATAATCTCGCATTTTTTGAGGTTGACACTACCTGAAACAAAGTCAACACTTGTCTCAGATGAAGCAATTGTGCTCTATCAGCATCACTAAACACGAAAGTATCATCCGCAAACAAAAGATGAGACACCCTCACAATACTTTGACCACCAATCACTGCAAAAAAGACCCTAAGTAAACCAGCCCCAGCTCTGACCATCATCCTACTCAACGCTTCTATCACTAAAATAAACAACATTGGGGATAACGAGTCACCATGTCTCATCCTTCTCGAGCTACCAAAGAAACCACACGGACTACCATTCATACGAACAGAGAACCTGGTTGTTGAAATGCAAAACTCGATCCATTTCCTCCATCTTGCACCAAATCCCATCCTCAACAAAGTGAAATCAAGGAACTCTCAACTAACATAATCGTAGGCCTTCTAAGGTCCAGTTTACGCAATATCCCCGTTTCTCCTTGCTTCCTTCTCGAGTCAACCACTTCATTAACCACTAGTGCTGCATCTATAATATGTCTTCCATCCACAAAAGCATTCTGTGAAGTAGATACTGTCACATCCAATACCTTCTTTAGTCTATTGGAAAGCACCTTAGATATAATCTTATGAATGATTCCCACTAGACTAATTGATCTATTATCCTTCATGCTCGATGCACGCTCTCTTCTCTGAACAATGATAATGAAAGAGGCTTGGAGGAAAAAGTAATTGTAAGCATAAACAATTTAAAATATATGAAGTAACAGTAAATCAAGTTCAATAATCTTTTCGAATTTCTAATTCAGATGCAAAGAAGACAATTTAAAGTTTTTGATTTGGCAATAGAACTGGTTTTCTTGTGTTAAGTTCCTTATTTCCTTTACATAAGGGTGACCTTGTGGTCAATGACATGGGTGTAAATCTTGGAGATCAGGGTTTAAGTACCTCTGGATGACTTCCTATCTGTCTATGCCTTGGGGGTAGAGTTACTCGGTACTTTTGCTAGTGGGAGATAGTAGGTATCTAGTGGAATAGTCGAAGTATGCACAAGCTAGCCCGAAAATCACTACTTTTATCAGAAAAGGAAAGAATCCCTTATTTCCTTTTCCGAGTTACGTACCAAATTATTCATATCATTTCTTTGACAATTAATATCTCACTTGGCAGTTACGTATATTGAGTAGTGTCGCTATCTTCAAGAGCCAGAGGTGGCTGCCTTAGTGCCTAGGTGCTGCATTATAGCGTCAGTTTAGTGAGATGAAACGTCAACCTGCACTGTACATAGTCATTGTTTAAGCGCTTTATGAGCCTTTAACAACACTACCTATAAAAGCATAAACAATAGGGATATAGCAAATCAAAAAAAAAAATAGGGATATACACTCCAAAATTTTGTGCTGCTTTAGTTACTATACAATTTCAACTATACCTTTGAAGTCGATTTCCAGTCAAATCAAGATGATAAAAGCACAGACAAAGAGAGTAATTAGTTTTATCTATTCTTGGGTTAATCTTACAGCTCTGTGATCTAACCTGGAGCCTGCGAAGGATGAGCCTGGATCCTACTTTTTAGTATTTGCTTCTTTTTTCTCATTAGCAAACCAGAATACTGATCTTCTTTTTTCCTATTTATGCAGTGGGTCCTTCAAGCTCTTGGCGGATGGGAAAATGAGCTTGCCTATTGTCAACAACTCCTCGAAAATGATATTTACAACAATTCTGCTTGGAATCAGGTAATGATTGAACTTCTTTTCCCTTTTTTATGATGATAAATAATTCTTTGATAGTAAAAGAAAAGGACTGAGAGGAACAAGATGTCCTCAACTGACAGAATCAGAAGGTATAAACAAAGAAATCTCCAAACAAGAAGCATATACCACTCCTTTGGGAGCTTTGTTAGAAGTATGCCTGCAAACGATAAGATGGCAAGAAATGGATTTTTCTCAATCTAAAGCTGGGCGCGGAGTCTGTGCTGGAATCCTCTAGGGGTACCCAAAAAATACAGCACAGAACAAGCATAATATTCTTCCATATCTTCTTCATTGTCCCAAACCCATGAATTTTTAACGAGAAAGGACTTCTGAGGTTGACATATAAGTCTCCATATTTGCAAATAACCTCCGTCAAGTTTATTTGCTAAAGAATGCATAAAGTGTGCATGAGACTCATTACCATGTTTGCTTATAGCAGCTAGGAGAAATACACATCAACTGAGTAGTGCTGCTTCTATTTGACTATGTTCACTCTCCTTTTAGTCTCGAGCAGCAATTAGCTGTAAAAGTTCCATTCCTTTTTTGCTTTTTATTCTAAAACTCCTAACTGATATCAGTGCCCCCTGACATTTTCGAGGAGCTCATCTCTAACAAATGTTTTATGACTATTAACTTTAAAAAGTTATTAAGGGTGAAAATTCCTTTGTGAAGGTAGTGTAGCTTCTCACTTTACTTTGTTTCTTGTAGAGATACTTTGTTGTGATACGATCACCTCTATTAGGGGGCCTAGCGGCAATGAGGGAATTGGAAGTGAATTACACAGTTCAAGCCCTCAGAGCTAGCCCGGAGAATGAAAGTCCTTGGAGGTATCTTCGCGGTCTTTACAAGAATGATACACAATCTCTAGTTGAGGATTCTCAAGTAGCATCAGTGCTTTTGGATATTTTAACCTCCAAAAATAATCATGTGCATGCTCTGAGCTTGCTGTTGGATCTTCTCAGTCAAGGTTTTGAACCAAGCGAAGAATTAAAAAGTGCAGTAGAAGTTCTTACTCCACAGTCATGCTCACCGGATTTACCCTTGGCGAAGAGAATTTGTTCCATCTTGGAACATGCTGATCCAATGAGAACAAACTATTGGAATTGGCGCAAAAGCACTGTTCCTGTTCAATCAGCTAAATGCCAGAATACAGATAGGTTGGCTGATTTAAGTATGCAAGATAACTTGTAAGAATATTGCAATGACGTTGTACGAATATACAGATCGCCATTATCTAAATTCACTGAAGAAGTCACGTCGGACACATCTGCTGGGAAATAACTGAATGACTCGAAGTACTGGAAAAACTGTTCCCCAGGAATTTCTTATTGCCAGCTTTGTGTTCCTGCCTTAAGTTTTGGCCCTGGTTTATTCCTCAAGTTTGGATGCATAGCTTATTTATGGTGTGGCTGACTTCCAATATTCCAGAGGAAGGCTGGTAGCATGTGCAATTCTAGCAACTTTTATTTTGAGTTAGTTTAAAAGTTTTGTAGTTCTACTTTAATGAAGGATATATTACAGTGGGGTTATATTTTGTAGTTTTACTTTAATGAAGGATATATTACAGTGGGGTTATAGTTATACTCAGACTTTGGATTTCATTTTTGTAATTTATCAAACGGAAGAAAATGTGACAACCTGAGCCTGAAAAGTTGGAGAATACAGCTCATATCATTTTAATGCTATACCAAATAAAATTAAAAATCTAAAGCCTGATAAGATGGACACAACTCGCTCACTTCAATTTTCTTTCTGATCCTTTGACATGTGTATGGACAGTATCTAGAATCACGTTGACAAGTTACATCGTGGATGCAAAAATAATTTTCAGTTGACTACGTGTCAGGATATGGGTGGGTTCACGTGAACCCCTGCCCCTCTCTCTAAACCATTCAAATTATATTCTTTTCAATAGTTTGCATCCACGTAGTTATTAGTCAGCTGATTAACATAATAACGAATTTGTTGAGGAGAAATATTGTCTTCCAAAAAACAAATTCTCCTACCAGTTTTGTCAAAACTATGATAAGGGACGTGATATGGTGCATATTAATATATGGCTTTTAACCTCCATGATAATCCTTGTCCCAATGTGCCAAATATCGTAAATCCGTAGTTTTACAGTTTGGTAGAAGATACTCTAAGAGGATTTGGAAGAAGTGATGGACCCTTTCTGCCAAACTGAACATAGTCTTCATTAACATCTCCAGAATAACCATTCAATTCTTACCCTCCACACAATAAAAAAAGAAAAGAAATTAAATGAAATGCTGGTAGAAGGACATACATTTGGAATGCATTGCTCATCCACAATTTGAAGAGGCAAATAGTATCAATCCGAAATATTGATATCTTGGAATAACTTTCCCTTTGATCTCAAATGAGGATATGTTCTTACACCCGTCATAGAGTGTAGGATACTGAACTGAACTGTACAGAAATGGATCTAAATGCTACAATACGCACTTTGCCAGTTTGTCAACTTCTTCACATTCTCCCACCAAACAAACCAATAACTTTCCTTCCCAGTCCACCAAGAAGAAAGAAAAAAGCATAGACGTTTATATGGCAGACATAAAATATGAGCTAAGAGCACAAGGATTTTCTATAGTTAAATCCAAAATGAAAATGTTATGGGAGAAATGACTCAAAAAACTCTATCCTCACTGCTAAACTTGTTGAGATTCCATCATGTCACTTTTTGGGAGTGGAAGATGGGCTTGACACCTCTTTGAATGCAGATGGGCAGAGATCACTTACCGCACAGATTGCACAACGTGGTCTTAAAGGAGTACATATGGTCTGTCCAAATCCTACCTGTTTTTAAGAACAATAGAACTACGTTAACTGGGCCCAAAAAAAAAAACCAAAGTGATTTGCAGGCGAACCTAAAAACAGAAATGGTTTAATATATAAAAGCTATTTGTCTACTTTGGTGCAGCTATTGAAATAGTCTTCTGGATTCAGATGCTGAAAAGTTTCAACAAAGAAGAGACGTAGAGTCTTGAGATTGTTAGTTCCTCAACTTCCCACTCTTGTGGAGTCAATTCAAGCGAATATGTTGAGCTTTTTGAGCTATTAAGATACGTTCCCTAGTCAGATACCTTGTTCTATGTTCTGCGAGCAGCACTCTTGTTAATGTCTATACCTGCTGCTTCGAAGAAATTTTCACAAAAGTATTTATTACTGTGCATCCACTTTCATTGAGATGAGATGAAAAGAACCATGCAAGAATCTCCACCAGTTTGGTTGCTTTACATTACAAAGATAGAGAACATATATACGTAGCTATGATTTATGCCTGCAAGGAAGATAGATTGCGTACATACCAAGAGAGGATTGATTGGCACCCATTCTTCCTTCGGAAGCCAAAGCTGCAAGGACTCCCTAGTCTCCTCAGGGGTTCTAGTTTTCTAACGAAGAGCAAACAAGTAAGAATGTAAGCAACATTCCTCAATGAATTATGATACGATTAAATAATGGATAGATGCTTTAATACCATTTTGTAAGGTAACTTAAGTTTTGGATCCCCTCTTTCCAACTAGCCATATAGACATTCAGTTATTTTGTCCTAGGCTCCTAGCTGTACTGGTCTAATAGAGGACGACCAGGTTAAAGAAAAGAAAAGAAATAAGGGGGAACGAAAAGGAAGCAAAATTTGTCAAGCCAAAGCATGTGATCCTTGTATGGCGAGAATGAAGTAATTTAACAGTACTCTTCTCCAATGGTTTTTCAGTCTTCCACAATATGCTAATAAAGGAGCCTAAAAACCATCAAACAGGAAGCAATGAGGCTCATAACAAGCATTCTCTTCAAACCACCAGAAATTCTTATTGCTAGACAAAGCAGGCCTTAAATCAGCAATTTCTTTATCTCTCCACTTACTGGTCATGCAAATTCATTTCCACCATTATTTCTTACAACAGTCTCCGCATGCTTCTACTTCCTGTTTTAATGAATCTGAATATAACCATTCAATTTTACACTTTTCCTTTAATTGCAAGATCGACGCTTGAATTAGCGTCACTTTTCAACTACTGCATAGTAAAGCAATTGCAAGTCTAACCAATCAAATCTTCTATGCCTTAGGCTGTTATCAGTCAAATTCGTAGAATATCTTTCGTTCAATGGTAATGTTGGAGGAAGTAAACTTCTCCATCTTCCTTGGGTTACGCTTGTTGAACATTAGGAGAACTGCAACTGTTTCTCAACTAGGTTTAATTCCTATACCGCCCCTAAAATGTTGTTGGCCATAATTATTATTACCCAGAATGGTTATAAAGCAGTGCTCAAACCCCACACCATAAGTCTGCTGTAAAGGTAATCCATAATAATGGAAAGCTAAAGCAAGGCAGATGTTTAGAGTTTCTTTTACTTTTCTTTTTTACTTGGGACTTCCATATATTTTATGCTTTCCTCAACCCATATGAATTTTTAGTTAAAGTTGAAAGTAACATCAGTTAAGTGAGAAATCATAGACATTAGACGCACTCAGTGTCTGATGGAAATAAAGAGTACCTGCTTTGTTCCAGGACGTGATACCCATCCAAGCCGATTACAAATACGATGCACATGAGTATCTACACATATCCCTTGAACGTTGTCCCATGCAACATTCATAACCTAAAGGAAAATACATCAAACTAGTTTACAAGTGAGGATGACAAGGGAACAAGGGAAAATATAACCTCCTTACTAGATGAGCCATCTTGGGACCAATTCCTGGGAGTAGAAGCAATTCCTCCAGAGAACTAGGAATGTCCCCGTCATACTTTGAAAGACAAATTTTTGCAATTTTTTTCAGGTTGCTAGCCTTTCTCGTGTAAAACCCCACCTGAAAGGGAAAAAGTGTGCATACATTACCAAGCAACGTTCAGAAAACTCTCGCACATGTTGATTAAAGGACAGTGCTGAATGTTTCTTAATTGTCTCTAGCAGTTCAGCTTATCCAGGTCTAGCGAAAGCAATAAACTATGCAAGTAATTGGCATAAAAGAAGGCATACCGGATATATCAAACTTTTGATGGTTTCTTCATTTGTTGTGTCAATGGCATCTGGAGCAAGCAAGCTATTTTGCTGGAGACGCTGGATAGCTCCTGTATGATAATAAGACCTTAACGAATGCAAGTAATATAACACAAAATTACAGATTATTTGAACCAGACCTAGGTCTAACAAAAACATTACAGATTATTTCAACCAGACCTAGGTCTAACAAAAACTATGTAATTTAGTAATGACACCACATGATAATTTAGCACTTCAACTCAAAAATCATGTATTTCATTTTTAGCAACTGTTTTTCCATCCTATATTTACTACTTATTTCAAACCTGAACTTATAGAAAGGCTTCTACTTGCACAGACTCTAGGACTTTTCAAGTTACAAATGGAGATTTGAAGGAGAAGTTCACTATACATGGTTGCGGGATATCAGCAGAGAACTTTTTTTGCCATAATCAGGGGAAAACAAGACTCTTGAAATAAAATAAAGAAAAGAAAAGAGGAAAGGCTCCTTATGCTGAATTTTAGGAGAAGAAGCTTTTTCAAGACTGCTGGAGCAATATGGGGTAAGAGGATGAAGACAAGGACAAAGACAATGACAACAATGACAGATTTTTTGATTTTAAGATATAATAATCAGTGTAGATTACCAAATATCTTAGACAATCAAATTTAAATGTCAGGCACAATACAACTAGAATTGGCAGCATCAGAGTTGAGTACAACATCAGTAAGAGAGCTCTCCAAAATAAAATATTAGAAACTTTAGAACTTGCCATGATTAACTTGATCTTTGGTCTGGCTAGACAAGAGTGATGATACTAGGACAGCAAATCTTCTTTCCTGATGAAAACATGAAGTGACAAAATTAGCAACAACGTCAAGATCGAGCATCCAGAACTCATCAATAATTCAAAACTTCTCCACCAAAGAGTCAGCATGGATACAATTTCTGAAACTTGAATGGACGTAAAACCAATTCTCATTCAACAATTAGAAGAGTTTACTGTTAAACGCACCTAAGAGCCTGTAGCTGAAAAACAGTTTATTAATAATAGCCTCCTAAAGTAGGCAAAGCACTGAATTAGCAGGATATTAGTTGAGTACCTAAATTCATATAACAAAATAAAAGGATAACATCCAATAATTGTATGTTTTGATGAACTTCTTTCACCACAAATGTTTTGTCTTCGTCCTTTTCCAGAGTAAAATAGTTCCTTTTTGAGGTAAAATATATGGATACTCTTCTACATTGCTGAAATTATGCACCTCTTCTCCTGTTCAGGAAATTAGACTACACCCCTTGAATTTAATTCCATTGCACATGAGTCACCTAAAGTTCTGACATTAGTTAGTCAAAAGGAGACCAGAGGTTGCTAATATCACATGAAAAAAGGTACCACTACACCCTTTTCAGTGTAACTTCTACTCTTTTCCTTGTCCTATTCATTCTTACCTCTACAAAATAACATTGTTTCTATCCTCATTATAGGTGTTATCTTCTTTTGTAAAGCCATTTCAGCCGCTACTGCGTTCTGCTATCAGTGGCGAAGCCAGGAATTTCCCCAACGGTGTTCAAACTTGAAAGAAGGTGTTCAATATATGTTATATATCTCTAAAACCTAATATTTTACTTATATATACAATGTAATTTTTTGACAAAAGGTGGTCAATTGACCACCCTTAGGACAATGTGGCTTCCCCCCTGGCTGCTATACATATATATAAAAGGAAGAATTATCTTACAGAGAACACATTGTTTCTTTGCTTGAGTTATCATTTGATCTTGTAGTAATCTGTAGTAAGTTGTTCAATGGTCTAGGAGTCATTCTAGAACTTCCTTTCTTTAATAATATCATTTTCCTTAAAAAAGAATGGTTAGTGTTCACAAGCCCGAAACTTATACCTGCCCACCCCCACCACCCCCACAAAACCACTACTTAACCTTGTTGACATTGAAACCCTTTTTATCCAACAATTACTTACCCCTTTCACCCTCACATATTTGAATCCTAAAGCTGCTTCAAATTCATCCCACCATCACAAATATGCTTTTGAGTTCAATTAGTGCACAAAGAATATTACCTTGACAGGAAGAGAACTCCCAGCTTTCTCACAACCCATGGAGTCTACAGGTGCATCCTCAGAGGACCTCATCTTGCGGATTCCTTCAAGAATTTTTTCCCAGTTCGGAGGTGGTCGCACTGAATCAGATAGACTGATGCTTTTGATTTCTGTCCTTCAAAACACCTTAGCTAAATGATATGGTTAAACAAGACAAAGTGCCCATTGGCTCAACAAAATGTAGAGTTGCGCATAAGGATGCTTTTAAGTCCTTATTTCAAACTAACTGCGGTAAAACCTTAAAAACTCTTGCAATTGGCAAACCACAACAAGACATAATAAACAGAACTCTATTAAAGCATCAAAATATATCTCATTAATTCCAGACTGAGGCCAATTCTGTTTGTCGTGTCTAGAAAAATGAATTCAAGCAAAGAGCTCTTCCCTTTTCTTCTTTATTCACTTTGGTAGTAAAAAAATTACATCTTCATACCTTATTAAAAAAAATTACAGCTTCCTATTGCAGATTTCTATTCAACGTGTCAATTGAGGTCTTCAGTTCTGAATATTAAAAGTAATGAGACCAATGAATGACATAATATTGCTTATCCGTCAAATTGGACTCTTCTACTAGAAGTTAAAGCCATTCACCAGCAGATTTGACAAGCTAGTTTGAAGAGAAATAGTTTTCACGGTTTTAACTCAACAGACTTGAGCTTTTGACCAACGAAACAGCCATATTTGGACGATCTATAATTCATATTTAGTTGGGTTTTCAAAGTTTTACAGATTTGTGAGTTTTGTTTCAACAAAAGTAGATTATTTTCAGGCTTATAGCTGTGAGTGTGATATTAGGTTAGAGATAAGATCTGTTTAAAATTTTGATCCTAGAGGTGGAGGTTTGTCACATCCAAAAATACCACTTTGTAGTGACATGAAGGAAGGGAGATTTGAGGAGGTTCTCCTTTTCAGATTTGAGATTGAGTTGTATGATCTTTTGAACCTTTAGCTAAGTAGAAGGATTTCTTGTAGGTTTAACACTTACCCCTAAGCTGGAAAGTTTGTTCCTTTTCTTTAAGTGCATATTTGTCTTACCTCCTAATCATGTTCACAATTCTTGACAATTATATCTATCATCTCTTTCGAGCGTCATCCAAAGCTCATCAGCATAAACAATGATGCATATTGGAAGAGACAAGGCTAAAAACATATCTAAAATCTATTCCTACTTCAGAAACAATAACGGAAACCTCCAGATTACCTCATTACCTTTTCGTGTCAACTGGGATAGAGATTTTTCTCCAGTCAAATGCAAAGTTTTGGCAGGTGCTGCACGAAGTAAAGAATGATTAGCAAAACTGATGAAAACAAGGAGATTGGGAAGTCCAAACACTGATGGACACGAAAGTAAAATAGTAGAGCTGCAAAGGTGATTGAAAGCTTGTAATTGTGACAGGTTATCATTGAAACTTCATAAAAACATGAAAAAGAGAAATAGCAATAACATCAAAAATTCAACTTTCAAAATTATCTCCCTATCATTTCCAAAAGTGGCCTTTGTCACTTGCTAACAAAACACGTGCTTATACTTTTATCCTTTTATTTTTTCTTTCTGAGTGGGCAAGCACATAAGTTCTATCTTAGGAACTAGGTAATTTTTGTCAGGAAATGATCGATACTTTTAAGGCTGCCATGACATTAGGTGTGCCATTGAGAAGCCACATCTATAGATCTTCTATTACTAATAAGTCTTTGATAAATGACTTGCAAATACTAGGTCGTGTACTTCCTCACTCTTATCTCTCTTCAACACTCTAATTCTTTGCATAATGCAATTTCAACTCATTCTTCTACACAACTTAATTTTGACATGCCTTAACATGCTTTTCTTTCATTTCACAGCACTTTGATTAATACACAAGGAAGTCAAAGAGCTTAGTTAGGTTCCTTGGTCCTAATGTGTCTATGTAAAAAAGAAAAGATATCCAACAGGTCATAAAGATTCCGTCGCATTTACTACTTTAATTAGTCATCTCCTATCCCTTTTGTTGCTTTACCATTGATATCTTTTCTAACTTATCCGTCTATTTTAAATTCCAAGAGTTAGTTCATGTCAAGTCATGCGATTATTTTGGTCTCACTAACTCAAACTTGAAGGAAATTTGCTCCTCGAGTCAATAAACAAGTACACCTTTCTTTTAGCACTAGCTAACTACATAACTTGGACATTCTGCATTTTTTCCATTTTTTTAACAGTCACTTAATCTAATTAACAGTCTTGCTAAAGTTGTATCTTCTTAGTGTTCTTGTACTTGAATAAAAACTGTTATAATATCATGCTCAAACTTCATTGTCTAATCTTTTGATAAGAAACTTCGTTGTCTATTCATGCAGAGTTTTGATCCAATTGCATTCATTCATTTCACCATTAGCTATAGCACTGATTGTCAATTTTATTTTCCTTGTACCCCAATAGAATGCGGTAGACAAGAATATAAAGTCCAGTAACCATCAAGCTTAAACAAGGTAATAGGTCTTTTGGTTTCTTAAAAATCGAGGGAGGTTAAAAACCTACTTCCTAAGCACAAGGATATGAGCAGAAAGTTTCGGAAAGGTTAGGAAGTTACTAAATAGCAACAAGGTTTGGGCTATCATTGCATCCATTTCTGCCTGGCAGACAAGCTGAAAAGGAGGAAATTTCAGATATCTAGGCAAATAATCCTTTTCATTTGATTAAGGATATCTAGGGAAATAATTGTCATTGTGTTGATGGCGATAAGGGTAGTGGAGTCAAAATAAACACTTGAGACTTACTTGACTGGGAACACATATCGTCCTTGGAATAGGAAAAATCCTCTATATCAGGCAGTTTAACAAACTGCAGAAGTCAAAAAGAAGATCAGAAAATTGTTGTTTGTCCTTTATGTCACTGAAAACTAAAAGATCAAATTACTTTCAAAAGCTCAAATGATTAAACCAAAGAAGTTATTTAGATGGTCAAGATTACTGATGGCAAAAGTTTTGAATCTATTAATGCACTTAATTACAACCATTTCAAACCAAGAGTAGTAATAAAAAGATATAGGAGTAGCATACTTTTTGGGCAGAAGATTCTTCCTTGACCTCTTTGGCTATAACTTCAACAGTCTTTTTCACTCTCTTTTTCCGGACGAAAACACGAAGTTCAGGAACGGAGCTTCCACCTGAGCCTTCAGAACCTGAAAATAAAGCTGATACTATAATATTACTGAAAATTTCCAACAATACTGAATAACTATGTCCACCAATCATAGGCAGATAGGAAATAATCAAATAATGTTAGCTGACCTGGGTTTGTCTCAGAAGGGGTTTCTCGCTTGAAGGAGCTTCGCGTTATTGGCATTTTGGCGGAGGAAATCGTTTGAATCCGAGTTGGGACAAAGGGGACAAGTGTAGTGTTTCTCACAAGACATTCTGAATAAAACCAAACTATGGCGTTGCTTCTTGGTTTTTGGACCCTCCTCGAAAAAGTACAAGCCTAATTTGTTGGGGAAAAATTTAAAAGGGAAAAAGGCCAAAATTGTACCCCTATTATTGAAAATTATTCACGTTAATATCTCGTTCTACTTTCCGGTTAAAATAATACCTGCCGTTATTAAAGTAGGAGAAATAGTACCCAAATCTAACGGATCTCCTACGTGGCAATCGGGTCCCTCATAATAATGTGCCAACCAGTCAATAAATTGCCAACTAGACTTTTATAACCCGCCCCACATGATAACCCGCCCCATTTTAGAATAACTCCACCTAAAAACAATCCCAGTCGAATAAAAATAGGGTTCAAGCTCAAATTCCCCAAATTCTCTTTCTTTCTCCTTTGCTCGACTCTATCCTCTCTCATCTTCATCAATGTCGCAGAGCAGTACTTCTTCTCAGAGAAGGTGTCGATGTGGAATTATTGCCAACCATTTCACATCAACCACTCCCTCTAACCCCGGTAGGAAATTTTACAAATGTGCACGCCCTAAGGTAAGGTGTCGATGTGAATTTGTCTAATCTCTATAATCTTTTTAGCTGTTTTGATTTGGAAAAAAAATGAATCTTTTAAATGTTTCTTTGGCAGAATAATTCATGTGGTTATTTCGAATGGGAAGATGAAATAACCACGGATGGTTCCCAACTTGAAATAAGAGACTTGAAGTCGTCTTTGAATGTTGTTTCGATTGAAAGAGACAAGTTGAGAGAAAAATTAATTGACATGGATGCCATGAACAAATTAGAAGATGCTAAAGTCAAAAAATTGGAAGAAAAAGTTGTACAACTAATGATGGTGATAATTGGTTCTTGGGCAATATTTGTTGGATTCTTTGCTGCCTGGATAATGAAGTAGAATTCATTGCTTAGTTAATTATCATTCTGTAGTCAATTGACATGTATTGTTTAGTTTGGTAGGGAACTAATTAACAATGCAACAGTGTAGTGAATTAAGTAGAGATATCATGTAACTGTTGTTTGGACTGAATTTTACCTTCTGTTTAGCTTATGTATTCTGTCGTTTTTGTACTGAACTAGCTTAAGTTAATTTTCTATTTTCTGTGGGATCATATTACCTCAAAGTGTTCGACCAAAACTGGTGGTAAGAAAAATCAGAAATGACTAAAACTGGTGGTAAGAAAACAGACCAAAACTGGTACTAAAACTCAAAATTTAATGCAGCCATGACTTAATTCTCAGCACTAAAACTGGTGGTAAGAAACACGACTAAACAGTGGTGCTGAAAATCAGAAATATGAGACATGTTCATGACTTAATTCTCATGACTAAAACTCAAATTTTAACACAACATTAGTAAAGTAACATTGACATATAACTGTTATCAATATTCAGACCAACTGTCATAACATTCATAACACCAACAAAGTAATAACACCAACTGTTTTAAGGGACCCCTGTTTTAATTACATTAACGACCAAAAAAAGAGATGCAACCAGCCAAAAAATATACTGTCCTAGCAGTAATTACAAGCCTTCTAAAATTCAAATTCATAAAAACTTTCACTACACAAAAAAACTGTCAACCTATAGTTCAAGTCACATTACTTTTGTGACTTGCCATTACCCTTTTTTGTTACAGCTTTCTTTTTCACACCAGATGAGTCACCGACAAAATTGATTGTCCTTGTTATAGCTGGTATGGTTCCTTGCTGTCTCATAAGAAGTCTTGTCCTTTCTTCAGAGAAACTCCTTGGCCTAATTTCTGGGGCAGAATCTGATTCAAAATCTGGTGGCACAGTGTTGTTGGGAGGTTTCTTTTGGACTGATGAAGTTGGCATAAACTGAAATTGAGAGGCTTGTACTGGATGACTTGCTCGACTTGCTTGACTTGCTTGACTGAACAGTGGTGCTGAAAGATCTATGTCCTCCTCAGCTGGTACATTTAAAGAAACTGGTGACATGGGCTGGTCATCATTACTGTCTTGAGTTGCTAAACATGTTTGCCTCTTTGCTTGCTTGCTCTTTTTCTTACTTGCCATTGGTTGCTTTCCCTTAGAATTCTATTTAACAAATAGGTAAGAGTAAATAGGTAAATAGGTAACAAATAGGTGAATAACAAATAGGTAAGAATTCTATTACCTTTGCACAGTCCCTGGCATTGTATCCAGGCTGACCACATGTAGAACACTTCATTATCCTCCCCTTCCTGGACTGCATCCATTCACCTTGTCTGTTGACTGTTTCATTTTTTTTCTCTTGTTCTTTTGACTTTAGGCCTGCCAGCCATTGAGACCAATTCCGGTGGTTCCATAGCATGAGATGCTTCAACCTTCCAGAATTTTTCTCCTCTCACTGGTTGAAGTTTATGTGAATATGCTAGGAGATAGGCCTCTTTGGAGTACCACCAGTGTATTTCAGTCACAGGATTCACCTTGTTGTGTTGCATTGCTTTGATTGCATGAGGACAAGGGATTCCATTAAGGTCCCATGTCCTACATGTGCATCTCTTGGTGACCGTATTCACTGTGTGCTTGTCACCATCTTCACTCACTTCATACCCTTCTTGACCATTGGAATGAACATGACACTTGTTTGCAATCTTCAAGTATTGGTTATACAGTTGCATTGTTTGGGGACTGAAGTCATTACTCCATGACATCACATCAGATTCATGTTCCCTTAGCAAGTTCATAACCTTTACTCTAATTTCCTCAAGCATCTTGATAATTGGCTTGAATCTTGCTTCCTTGATCCATGAATTGAATGACTCTGTTAGGTTGTTGTCAACAGAGTAGTTCTTGCAAACAGTGTCAAAGTATGCTCTACTCCAACTTTCAGGTGGGTACTTCATCAAATGTTCAACAGCCTCCTTTCCATCTTTATCCACTTGTGCCATATTCCTTAATTGGTCTTTAAAATCTTCCTTATATGTGCTCCATGCAGCCCACCATAAGTACTTCTATATTCCCCATGTCCCCATTTTTTATACCAATTTGCCTCTATGTGCCTTACACAATATCTATGGTGTGCCTCAGGAAGAACCAAGTGGACTGAATCAATCAAACCCTTAAAATGAAAAAACAGTAAAGAAATGCATCAAAAACTAAACATCTCCAGTAATGCAACAGTGGACCAATGCAACAGTTAACTAAACTAAACATCTCCAGTAATGGAACTAAACTAAACAACTCCAGTAATGGAACAAACCAATTAAATGCAACAGTAATGAAGTTATGAGTTAAATGAAATGCAACAGTTATGAAGTAATGCAACAGTAATGAAGTAATGCAATGCAACATTTAACTAAACTAAACAAAACAGTAAATTAATGGAACAAACCAATTAAATGCAACAGTAATGAAGTTATGAGTTAAATGAGATGCAACAGTTATGAAGTAATGAGATGCAAAAGTTAAAAAGTAATGTAATGCAACAGTAAATGAAATGCAACAGTTATGAAGTAATGAGATGCAACAGTTATGAAGTAATGCAATGCAATAGTAAATGAGATGCAACAGTTATGAAGTAATGAGATGCAACAGTGAAGAATAGAGGCAAAAGTTAACCAAATGAAACAATAAACTCATACCTTTTGCATATCTGAAATAAATGTAATCCCTTCTCCACTTTTGAGGTCCAATAAATGTTGTAGCAGCCTTAAGAACCAACTCCATGTCACTTTGGTTTCTTTATCAACAACAGCCCAAGCTAAGGGGTAAAAGTGCCTCTTGGAGTCTTGAGCAACAGCTACTAACAATTGACCCTTGCATTTCCCTTTCAAAAAGGTTCCATCCAAGCCAATGAATGGTCTCAACCCACTCTTGAACCCCATTTTCAATGCATGAAAGCAGATGTACATTCTTAGGAATCTTCTTTTACCTTCACTAAATGCATCCTTTGAAATATTAATCACCACATCTATTCCTGGATTACTAGACCTTAATTCATTAGCATAAGCCTCAAGCTTGTTGTACTCATCTGCAAAACTACCCTCCATTTTCTCCAATATCATTCTCTTGGCTCTCTTACACTTTGAATGACTAACATTGATGTTAAATGGATATTTTACACTTGCCATCATCTCCTTAATTTTAATCTTAGGATTATCTTGCAGCCTGCTCTTAAAGTAAGCAGCTATGGTTTTTGCATTCACCCTATGGTTATCATATGCAGTATTACACTTATGTTCTTCCTTTAATATCTTGAATTTAACACCAGGACCTTTAGAGTCTTTGGAAATATGACAAACAAAGGGGCAGTCTTCATCTAAACATTTGTACCTAAGCTTTTGGGGGCAACTCTTAAGTTGTTTTAACCCATAACCATTAGCAAATTAATACAGGTTGATGAATTTTCTAGCTTCTAGAATGTCTTTGAATGTCATGGACTTGTGTAACTCCTTATACTCAGTCAATTTATCAGATATCTTCCTCTCTTTTTTGTGTATACAGTAGTTCTAATGAATCAGATTCACTGTCAGAATTATCTGAAGAATCAGAAGACTGACAGCCATGTTCTTCACTGTCATCTGAACTACAGTCAGTAGCAGCATCAAGTTCTATCATGTTTGGCTCAATGTGGTGGACTATATTATGAACATTAATACTTAACTCACACTCATCTACAGCAAAGAAGTCAATAACATTAAACTGATCACTAACCAAAGACAATAGAGTCCTAACACCTTCATCACTTTCTATTTCATAATATCTACCATACTTGCTGAACTCCAATAAACCCCAACTTAGAAGTAAATTCATTTACTAAATAGTTATAAGACAGTTGGTCAGAGTTAAAACCTTTAATAGTGTGCACAAGCTTCCTTGAGTATAACACTTGTGGTCTCTTTATCCAGTCACCATCATAGTGAAAGATTAGATCCAATAACACCATTGCATATAAGCTGCAGAATAAGAAAGGGAAAATTTTTACAAAAAAGTAACATTACAACCTATATAATATGCTGACAAAGTGGACCATAGAATAAAGGCATAAAGTGAATACAAAGATACATAAATAAACAAAGAAAATAGTGGGCTGCCACACATGAAGACACAACTACAATAAATAAAGAGATGATGTGGGACTAAGTATATAAACAAAACAAAAAAAAAATAAGAATCTGACCCACTTGTCTCTTAAATCAACATAATTGTATAAGAAATAGGGGACCGAACACCCAAAATAAGAGCATCAAAGAAACAGATCCAACACAAAGGGGACCCCTTTTCTGTCAAATACCATATATGTAGGACCACAAAAATTGAAACCCTAAACCGGAACAAAAAGAAAATACCAGATAGGGATTATTCGAATACAAAATACAAACCCTAAACCACCAGTAACAAAGACCAAAAAACGAAAACAAATTCAGGGTTAAATCGAGTATGAACAGACCACATGCAAACAAAAATAACCAAAATCAGACACACCTCCAAACTCAAAAATACATATATATATATAAATCAGTCAAAACCCTAGTCAAAGAAACAAAAAATCAAACTAAATCCAACGATATCCTTCCGTCCATACCAAAAACAAAACAAAGAAATGACGATTTACTAAATTTAACAAGGAAATAGGTACCTTCGTATGCATCAACGATGAAGACAACTTTTACAGTGAAGAGAGAAGGTGAGAGATTTTTTTTGGAAATGAAGGTGAAAGCTTTTGACCGGCTTGGGTTAATTTTTAGGTGTAGTTATTAAAAAATTAGGGCGGGTTATAAAATGGGGCGGATTATTATGTGGGGCGGGTTATAAAAGTCTAGTTGGCAATTTATTGACTGGTTGGCACATTATTATGAGGGACCCGATTGCCACGTAGGAGATCCGTTAGATTTGGGTACTATTTCTCCTACTTTAATAACGGCAAGTATTATTTTAGCCGGAAAGTAGAATGGGGTATTAACGTGGATAATTTTCAATAGTAGGGGTACAATTTTGGCCTTTTTCCCAATTTAAAAATAGCCAGATTTACAACTGGTTATTCAAAAATAGCCCAGTTTCAAAAGTAATCGAAATTTAGCCACTTTTCATGTAAAGATAAATCTGAGCGAAAACACTGATCAAAATTCGAAAAATACGCCCGCATATTATACGGGAGTTCCAGGATAACTATGCTGGAACTCCCGCATATTATACGGGAGTTCCAGGATAACTATGCTGGAACTCCCGTATAATATGCGGGAGTTCAAGTATAATTATGCTGGAACTCCCGCATAATATACTGGAGTTCTAACAAGTATAAATGTCCAGTATAATATACTGGAGTTTGGAGCACCGGTGCTCCAGTCTCCCGTATATTATACAGGAGTCAGCAAAGTATACCGGTCCAGCATAATATGCTGGAGTTCGTACACAAATGCACCGAACTCCCGTATATTATACGGGACCGGTCTCTGTTGCAGCAAAATAGTGGCTATTTTTCATTGACTGGGTAAACGCTGGCTATTTTTGATTGACCAGTGCGAAAACTGGCTATACCGTGCTATTTTGACAATTTGTTGTGGTATTTAATTTCGTACAAATGTCATGGAGTGGTCACTTTTAACGTCGTATTTAGTTTTTACCCCACGCTAATAACTATTAAAATTAGGCCATATACTCTATTTAGTTCTTTGATCTTAATATTGGTACGAATTTGCAGTTTTTAAAATTGATTTAGTTGGATATGTTTTAAAGGACAAAGGAGGATGTAACTACTTCAGATGGTTTGAGGAGGTATTTTCTGACCAAGCAAATAAAGTTATTTGGGGTTTGTTGAAGAGACTCACAGCCTTTGATCAAGAAAGGGAACGAGCTAGACAATTGAGAAATAAGTTGTTGTTTGCTGTTCTACTAATTGCCCTAATTATTTAGCTGTGTTGTTGTTCTTGCGATTGTTGATGCCAACAGAATTCGAATGTAAAAATGGGTATGGTTGTTAGTGTTACACCCCATATTTCGTACATGAAAGTACGCCATAAATAAATTAATGAGAGCTCGGAAGTGAGATGTTATATCTCGCATTTTATTTTTGTACATTAATGTTTCGTCGTAAGTTAATCGACGTAAGCTCGGAATGAGATTATTTTGGGATTTAAGTATTATGCTATTTCGAACAAGTGATGAGTACATTTATGAAGGAGAGAGGGTAAGCAAATCGAAGAAAATGAATTTCGTCGAAGTTTGGCAATTTGAGATAAAATACGGTCTGAGCTATAATACCCGATATTTATGAACTAGTGCCATACAAGGTACCATATGACCATAATAATATGATGTATAAAGTGTATTAAAAGGGAGTAGTATTTTAAGTAATTTGAGACAATTCTTAAATATGCGAGTAATTGATTAATTATTGATTTAATGAGAGATTAACCATGTAATTAAGGATTCATGAATAATTATAGGTGGGGACAAAGCCCCCCCAACGTGGCAGCAAATAGAGAAGGGTCTAATGACTCTTGATTTAGGCTACTAGATTAGAAAGACACATGGACTATGCACTTAGCCCTCAAAAAACGTGGAAAGAATGACTATGTTAGTCATCTTTACAATTGTGTTCAATTGATATCAAAAATCCATTTCTAGAGGAGATTTTGGAGTTCATATGGGACTTTATGTTAAAATAGCAACGACAGTTCTTAAAATTGTGAAGAAATTCATACGAAATTATAATGCGTAATAACAACGAGATTTTGCGATTCTAAGGGAGTACGGTGCAATCTTTCTCAAGAATATCATACGGATTTTCCCCTACTTCGTCCACCGTTACGTGTTGTTGCAATCAACGTGTGTTAAAGGGATTTGTCAAGAGAATCGGTTCAGATATGTTAAGGCTATGGTATCAATTGCATGCATGTGACTTCTTTTGTGAGAATGAGCGTATTCTTTGATATATATGAGTCCTTAAAATATATTTGAGCATTTGATTTGAATATGCGGATTCAACTTACTCTCTTATTCTTGTGGTGAGGGCATATGCTTCCACAAAGGAAAAGGTAACGTTATTAGACTTCTCTCTATGATGTTGGGTGTTCAAACAATGAGTGCATTGTCACATTGAGTTGGTTTTTGAGGCTATGATTGTTTGGAGCATGTTGTCTTTGTTGTGAATATTCGTGAAGTATGGCATAAGAAAAGGGAAGTGTATGTGATTGCATATGCTAGAATTTAATTGTTGCTATAAACCATGGTCATTAGTGTGGTGTGCCTCAATTGTGTAAAAACAAAGTGTTCAAGGTTGTGTCTATAAGTGTAGTTTGATTGCTCGAGGACGAGCAATATTTAAGTGTAGGGTAGTGATGTGTGGCTATAATTTCATAGTTTCGTACATAATTGCCTTGCATTTTATATACTTTAAAGATAATTTACACTTTATTTGCGCGTAATGGAGTCTATCTTATGTGTAGGTGAATTGGAGATGAAAGTAGAGCAAAAGGGATACTTAAACGTTGAAAGTGTGCTCGAACAGTGAAAAGGAGAAAGCTGGCGAGGCCAGGCTTTAAGCTGGCGTTAGGCTGGCGAGGCCAGGCAAAGGCCAGGTTTGAAGCTGGCGTTAGGCTGGCGAGGCCAGGTAAAGGCCAGGTCCACTAGGCATTAGGCTGGCGACGCTAGGCCTGGGGCGAGATCCTGTCCGAATTTTGAAGATTTCTTTCGTCTCTAGGTTTGACTAGGACTTGACGTAACATTTAGGTCTTTTCCTACACATATAAATAGACCTAAAAACGCCACTTTAAGGGGAGACAGTCTAGACAGACTGAAACTGGACAGATTTAAGAGGGGATTCGACTTAATGAGGCAAGAACAATTATATATCAATATCTAATATTTAGTATATGGCCTCTCGTCAACGGTCAACAGAGTGAACTTCCTCATCTGGTATTAGTTATGTGATACCTATTTTGTACCTAGCAAGATGAACTCTTTTATGATTTTGTAAAATAGTGAATAAGCTAGGGGGTAAATCATAAAATATAAGAGGATAGGGTGCAAAGCGAAAAATGAGGCATACATGAGGGGTGCAAAATGCAAAGAACCCCCAAATATCTAGTAGGTGAATCTTTACGACGTCGTTACGACTTACAATCCATTTTCTACGCAAATCCACGCAATTCTCCATATTCTTTCATTGGAATCTGTTTCACAATTACCCACAATCTTTGATCTGAGTGTCATTTTTTCTTTGTGGGAATTTACTTGGACTCTTTTCTCTGGTAATCTCCCATTTCCATTGTCGAGTTTCGTTACCTATTTGTTCCAATTTTTCGTATGTTACTATTCCACTAATTGCATCCTCAGTCTGAAATTTTGATTCATAAATTAAATAAATCCTTAAGTAAACATGTCATATTATTTGTGTGATTGACTATAAAACCTTTTCATTTATAGTAAACTGAGAAGTTAAAGTTAAATTGTTTTTAAATATAGACGTGTATCATTCTTTTAGAAATGGAATAATGAAAGTATGTCACATAAAATAAAACGGAGGTACTTAATAATATACCATTTGATTGGGAGATGTCATTTAGGAGCTGCTTAGAGGCTTTGTTAAGTGTAATTTCGATGCTTTCAAGAATTTAATCTATCAATATTCTTCCTACAGATTTTCATTAAAAAAAGAAAAGAATGCGACTTCTGGCTTCCTAATATACTTTTTATTAAGCTTTTCAAGTGTTCTTTTAATATTGCAAGTAGCGTAATTTTTCAATGTAGGTGACTTTAGGTTTTATTTTCAAAGACAAATCAATCTGTGTCTAATTTTGCTGTTGTCGTGGACATGAAATGCAGATATCTAATTTTACTGCAGAGGTTTACTAAGCTTGTTTAAGACTTAACTTTTTGGAATATATGATTGGATTAATCAGCATTTATAATTGTTGATTGCATTAATCAGTATCGAGATTAAACGGAGTAACGTGGTCAGTGATAATTCATGTTGCCGACCCCAACTAGTTGTTGTTTTTGATTGCTAAACAAAGTTTCTGCTATAATTATAAATGCAATTGGGGTTGTTTATTCCTTTTGATTGATTGTATCCTTTTCAATTTCCTTGTAGTTTTCATTGAAGTATGTAAATATCATCTTTATTCATCATTCTCTTGATAAGTAAGAGCCGTCCTCTTACAAAAATGCAGTACAATAAAGATGCGTATAATAGACCCTTATGGTCCGACCCTTCCCCGGACCCCGCGCATAGCCGTGGAAGCTGCGTACTATAGACCCTTGTGGTTTGGCCCTTCCTTGGACCCTGCGCATAACCGTGGAAGATGCGTACAATAGACCCTTGTGGTTTGGCCCTTCCCCGGACCCCACGCGGGAGCTTAGTGCACCGGGCTGCCCTCTCTTGATAATTAAGAGGGATATTCAATGCGGTTCCTTCAGTTTTAGGCCTTTGATAAATGATTTTTAATCTGTATTGCAACATAGGTGTTGAATTGAGAAGAATTATTGACAGACAGTCCAAATTTGAGGGATTTTGAGCTGTTTCACCATCTTTGTCTTAGGTCAGCAACAACCGGTTTCAATCACAGCATCTTGAACTGTGAGCTATGGCCTCAACCCTGGAAAATGAAGCTCATTCCCCCAAAAATATATTCATTCTATCTGGCCAAAGTAACATGGCTGGTCGGGGTGGAGTAGACAAGCATAAGCATTGGGATGGCGTCGTACCAAATGAGTGCTCTCCCGATGCTTCTAGAATCTTCCGTCTTAGCGCAGATCTCCACTGGGAGGGTGCACGTGAGCCGCTCCACCATGATATTGACGCCAAGAAGACATGTGGTGTTGGACCTGTAATGTCATTTGCAAATGCGATCAAGGACCGAGTAGAAGCTATTGGGTTAGTGCCATGTGCTGTAGGTGGAACTGCGATAAAGGAGTGGGCGCAGGGGGAGCATTTGTATGAAAATATGGTCAAGAGAGCTAGAGTTGCCATGCATCATGGAGGAGAAATCAAGGCATTGCTGTGGTATCAAGGAGAGAGTGATACATTATCTCAGCATTGCGCTGAGACCTATAAGGCTAATATGGAGAAGTTAATACATAATGTTCGTGCTGATTTGCATCTTCCAGCTCTACCAATTATTCAGGTTAGTTAATATAGTTTGCTTCAAACATAAATATTGCCTGTGTGAAATAAGTAACATTATTACTGTGTAGCTGTGTAGTTCTCAACACTGAACGTCGAATACTAGAAAATAAAGTTTTAAGTGTTCTCTATGCATTTGTACTTGAAAAGATGTTCTTTTATGCATTTGTTTGGTAAATTAGTTTAGAATTTAGATCTTAAAGCAAAGAATATCCACTTCTCTTCTCCGTCGTACAATTGTTATGAAACAGAATTGACCAGTTCAGAAAAGAATATAAAGTGTCACGTGAAATCGCTCGACCAATTCAAATCAGCCTGATACATGTAACTTTTCAGCGGGTTCAGAATTGTCTTTCATTCCAAGGCATAACTTGTATCCATGCGCTTCATATTCGCCCGGAGTTTGCTTCCAGAAATATAGCCATCCCTTCCCCCTCACGTCAATCCCACGAGTCTCTTATCCATTCTCATTGAACAACGGCGGGGAGCAAATCCAACTAGAAAAATTCACATTGGACTTAGGAATAATCGGGCTCGAACTGATGACTTCCAAAGGACTGGCAATTGTAGTAAGAAATTTGAAGATAATTTTGGTTGTTTTCTTTTATGGAATATTGATAGGAACATTCAGGGACCGAAGTAGTTGAACATTTTCGCATGTAGTCTTTAACTTTTGCATTGTCTTACAGGTTGCAATTGCATCAGGAGATGAGAAGTATATCGAAAAGATAAGAGAAGCGCAGAAGGGGATTGACCTCCCAAATGTTGTATGTGTTGGTGCCATGGGATTGCAGCTTAAGGAAGATAACCTCCATTTAACCACAGAGGCCCAAGTTAAATTAGGCCAAATGTTGGCCGATGCATACCTTACTCATTTTGCACCACAACCACCTTCTGTGGCTTCATCTTGAAATCATTTGAAAGCTTATGCCAACCCTGATTCATGAACATAACGAGAGTGCTCATTTGACTAAATGAAGTATTTTAGTTTTAAGTTGACTCGTTTTCAGTCTCTCTTTCTTTACTTTAAAATAAGACTCCTTGTTTTCGTTGTACCAGTCACATAACAAATTACTATTATATTAATGCATTCAATTTTCTGAAAGCCTCTTCTCATCCAAATGAGCGTACCAGTTACAAATACTATTATATACAAAAAGAAGTCCAAATGAGCGTACCAGTTAGCACCTTATGCAACACCATCTTTCGGAGTTGGGTGCATATGCATGGATCGCTTTCTATCTGAGATTCTTAAGAATAGATTAGTCATATCAATCCGAAAGAAATGAACGCAATAATACATCAGCAAAGGGTGTCGTGGGATGGTTTTCATCCTACCACTCTCTTCACCAGAAGTCTTGAATTCGAGCACTAGAAATAGAAAATTTCTTGGTACGGAGTGTTTTACCCGATGCAAATCAACATTAATTGGGATAAATCGGGAGAAATTCAAAAATAGCCAGATTTACCACTGGTCGTTGAAAAATAGCCAAGTTTCAAAAGTCATCGAAATTTAGCCACTTTAAATCTGAGCGAAAACACTGTTCAAAATCCGAAAAAATACGCCCGCAAATTTTACGGGAGTTCCAGCATAAGTATGCTTGAACTCCCGTAAATTTTACGGGAGTTCCAGGATAACTATGCTGGAACTCCCGCAAATTTTACGGGAGTTCAAGCATAATTATACTGGAACTCCCGCAAATTTTACGGGAGTTCCAGCAAGTATAATTGTCTAGTATAATATACTGGAGTTTGGAGCACTGGTGCTCCAGTCTCCCGTAAATTTTACAGGAGTTAGCAAAGTATACCGGTGCAGCATAATATGCTGGAGTTCGTACACAAATGCACCAGAATTCCCGTATATTATACTGGACCGATCCCTGTTGCAGCAAAATAGTGTCTATTTTTCATTGACCAGTGTGAAAACTGACTATACCATGATATTTTAACGGATAAATCACGATCATTCAAATGGGGATCTTTTGCAAATAGCCACCCACCACAAACTATTTACCCGCCCCTATCCATAAAGTTTTTCCCCACCCATTTTTTTTTTAGCCCAGCCCTTCCAACCAAAAAAAGTCAAACTAAGCTACTAAAACCAAGCCAAGCCAATTCAATCCAAACCGAGCCAAACTAATCCAAGTCAAATCAAGCTATGTTACGCCAAATGGGTAAGAAAAATGGGATGGGTAGGTAGGTTGGGTAATTAGTTTTAATTTGTTGTAACTAATTTTCAAATGGGTAGAGAAGGATAATTAGTTTAAGCTCAATAGGTATTTTCCATAAATTACTCCATTCAAATGCAAATAGTCTTATCAAAAACAAGATCACAAACTTGAAGAAATATACCAGGAGAAATTGTTTAGTGTACATGATTTCAGTATCTCACTTCCCCATAAATATCTTAGATTTGCAAAGGATGTCTGCAAAATGATCCAAGGGAATAAAGCAAAGACTTCAATGGTACCCCTTATACAACCAAACGATACAAAGTCGTTTTATGCAGGTAACCCACTTGTTCAATTTAGTGTAAGGCCTGCAATGAATATTGCTCGGACTTTTGCAGTCTGGAGGATTTCTTCAGGTTTTTTTTTGAATGTTTCGTTAAACTCAAACAAGAGATATCATTCGGGTATAGAGTCACATAGCTCGGAAAGAAGCCACAACTAAGTTACTCTTCAACTCATTAACAACCTCATGTGCAAGGTCCAACTCTAGCACTTGCTTCAAACACTCCACTAGCTTCATAAATTATAGTTGGCCATCTTCTCACCAACCAATATCTTTGTGTATTGAATTCTACGATCAGAGAGGGAGAAACCATTTATATATGTCATCTACTCCTCCAGCTTTCTGTGACATATTCATAGTATTTTTCTTCACCATAAAGTTGCCTGGAACACAATAAATATGCAGTTAGTAAAACATTAGGTGCCCCAGACCACCCAGAGGAAGGGAAAAAATGTTTGAGGAAGACTCATATATCTAAGTAATTCAATCTAGGTGTAGTTGACATGGCTTTATGTCAGCGCCAGCGCCTCGGAAGCAAATGACCATGTACAACAACGACGACAATAACACCCACTGTAATCCCACCAAGTAGGGTCTTGGGGGGGGGGGGGGGGGGGCGTAGATCTTACCTTCACGCCCTTACCTTTGTGAAGGTTAAATGAGCATGTACAACCAACTCCTTATTACTCCATTCTATGACTAAGCAATTTTTAAATATCAAACTGTACATAGACATTGGCTCGAAACATTTTCCGGTTCTTTCAAAGTAGCACATGATGAATATAAGAAGTTTCCAAAATTCTTAAATAGTCGTACATACAGTACAACCCATCCAACTAAATAAATATTCCATCACTGACCTCAGAGATACTCATTCTATCCCAAACAAAAAAGAACATGCTCGACTGATCTTCACCACCCCATTTTGCAAAGAAAGATGATTAGCAAATTTAGTCATACCGTTCACAAATGAACTATCTATTAAACCACAATCTTCCTCTTTTACTTTGGGGGAGATTGTCTTGGATAAGTACTGCTTCACATGCAGCTGCCCATCCAAGGAAGAAACCTCTAGGGATGATATCTTCCAAACGCCCTCTCAAACTCATTTTTGACCACTTACAGAGGGGTTGAAAAAGGTATCAATACTCTCTCTGTTCTCCTTGCCTCCTACCCGAAGTAGCACTAACCACAATAACAAGGGCTCCGGAATAATATATTTCAGAACTAACTAGTCCAATCATTGTCACTTGACTAGTTCTATCAATATACAGCTTAAATGCGAAGAGTTGTAACAATGGGAAATAGTAGTAAATGTTGTGGACTTATGAACCATGCCCAATGTTGGACAAATCTCAAAGTGAATAATGGTACAAGGATGAAAGTATGATTAAGAACCTCACGAATTGTAAAAGTCACCATGTCACCTCCTCAAAAGTTAAATCCTTGTTTCTATTGAGTCAGAAATTTTGAGCAACTGTTCAAAATTCAAATGAGCAAATAATGTGAATACGTAGAAAATAAAGGAAGGGAGAGAGAGTGAAGAAGATGTCTATATATATATATATATATATATATATATATACCAGACCACAACATCCAAACTACCCATAGTAGGAATCAGAACACGAACATAATTTGGAAACTAACTGAACAGAAACTAAATTTTGCTCCGGACACATGGAACTACGGGTGGATGTAAGAGCAGCAGACAGCAAAACTTACGCTAGATCAGCCAAGGTATCCGATTTAATTACCGCCTGTCCCTCTGGGAGCCCAAGGGAAGAATACTGCATTATCATTTCCTTCAGGGTGTGCTTTGTGCTTTTGATATCATTATCCCACAATATACTCTGCAACCAAAGCACCTAGACATGTTACTTATATTTGCAGTGAAAAACATATAGGAAGCCAATGAATTAATCCTTTTCACCAAACATATAGGAAGCCAATGACTTCATCATCTTCAATTTCAAACAAATGTTGAATATACTTTAGTCTATTTCACTAATACGCTGGATGGACAAAGTGGCTACTTAATTCGGACTCTAATTTTAAAATGTAATAAAGATTGATTCACATCTGATTTCCCAGTCCTAATACCTTTCTCACATACTCTCTTTTGACATCTTCCCGTGGTATTTTCCCCACGGAAGAGAATATAGAAGCATTCCAAATGGCTCCTCTTGCAACCATCACAGATGAAGCACCTATAAAATAAAGTTGTTAAATGTTGCAAACTATAAGCAGAAACAACCATGTAGATATTCATAAAAACAGATAGAAAGACAATCATCAAGTTAATAGGAAGCATGCTTACAAAGATTAATTTTGTATTTCTGGGGCATAAAATCTCTCTGATTATAGCTTTTTGAATTAGAAGCTACATTGCTCGAAACCTCCAAAAATATCATCACACCCGTGTCGGATCCTCCAGAAATGCATTTTTTGGAGGGTCTGACACGGGTGCAGCTGCTTTTTTGGAGGATCCGAACAACATAGCTTAAAAGAGTTAATGGGCTTGAGCTGCAAGCATCCAGATGAATTTGCTAAGCAGTTAGATGACCTATAAGACTTAGTTCAAACAGATCAACCATCAACAACTTCGCATGAAGCTATTGCTGTTGCAGAGCTGTGCTAAAACTCCATTTTTAGTGCATTAACACGTTTGTCTTCCTTTAGGGATGTGAGAATGCACGGGAGAAAAATCTTATATTGAATAAAGTGTTGTACAACCCTATTTATACACAGTAATTCCATAATAATAGGTATCTCCTCCCGATTGTGGGACACTAAACATGACTAACTACTTAACACTCCACCTCAAGCCGGTGCATATAAATCATATCTATCGAGCTTGTTACAGATGTAACTAATACGAGAACCAGTAAGAGACTTAGTGAAAATATCTGCTAGCTGATCATTCGACTTTACAAACTTTGTAACAATATCTCCTGAGAGTATCTTTTCTCTGACAAAGTGACAGTCGATCTCAATGTGTTTCTCCTCTCATGGAACACCAGATTTGACGCAATATGAAGAGCTGCTTGATTATCACACACCATTTCCATCTTGCTGATTTCTCCGAACTTCAACTCCTTGAGCAACTGCTTGATCCAAACTAGCTCACATGTTGCCATAGCCATAGCCCGATATTCGGCTTCGGCGCTAGATCGAGCAACTACATTCTGTTTCTTGCTCTTCCAATTCTTGCTCTTTCAAGTGACCAAATTACCTCCTACTAGAACACAATATCCAGACGTAGAACGTCTATCAGAAGGTGATCCTGCCCAATCAGCATCTGTGTACCCAATAATCTGCTCGCGGCCTCGATCCTCGAATAGTCACCCTTTGCCTGGAACTGACTTTATATACCGAATAATGCGAACAACTGCATCCCAGTGACTATCACATGGAGAATCCATAAACTGACTTACAACACTCACCGGAAAAGAAATGTCAGGTCTAGTCACTGTGAGGTAATTCAATTTGCCAACCAACCTCCTATATCTCGTGGGATTTCTAAGATTCTCCCCTGTCAAGGCAGAAGCTTAGCATTCGGATCCATATGAGTGTCAACAGGTCTACAGCCCATCATTTCAGTTCCCTCAAGAATGTCTAAGCATACTTCCGCTGTGAAATAACAATACCTGAGCTAGAATGAGCAACCTCAATACCTAGAAAATACTTCAATCTGCCCAGATCCTTAGTCTGGAAGTGCTGAAAGAGATGCTGCTTCAGATTAGTAATACCATCCTGATCATTGCTAGTAATAACAATATCAACAACATAAACCACCAAATAAATACACGTATTAGGAGCATAATGCCGATAAAACACAGAGTGATCAGCTTCACTATGAGTCATGCCTAACTCCTGAATAACTGTGCTGAACTTACCAAACCAAGCTCGAGGGAACTGTTTCAAACCATATAGTGACCTGCGCAATCGGCATACAAGACCACTAGACTCCCCCTGAGCAACAAAACCAGGTGGTTGCTCCATATAAATTTCTTCCTCAAGATCACTGTGGAGGAAAGCATTCTTAATGTCTAACTGATAAAGAGGCCAATGACGTACAATAGCCATGGACAAGAAGAGACGAACAGATGCTACTTTAGCCACGGGAGAGAAAGTGTCACTATAATCAAGCCCAAAAATCTAGGTATATCCTTTTGCAACAAGACGAGCCTTAAGACGATCAACCTGGCCATCCGGGCCAACTTTGACTTCATAAACCCAACGACAACCAACAGTAGACTTACACAAAGGAAGAGGAACAAGCTCCCAAGTGCCACTCGCATGTAAAGCATACATCTCCTCAATCATAGCATGTCACCATCCTGGATGAGATAGTGTCTCACCTGTAGACTTTGGGATAGAAACAGTGGACAAAGATGATATAAAAGCATAATGAGGTGATGACAGACGATGATAACTTAAACCGACATAATGGGGATTAGGATTAAGAGTGGATCGTACACCTTTGCGGAGTGCAATTGGTTGACTAAGAGGAGACAAGTCCGCAGTAGGTGCAGAATCTGATGCAGGACGTGAATCACCTGGGCCTGATGTTGGACGTGGACGACGATGATAAGTCAAGAGTGGTGGAGTTGCATAAGGTTGAACTGGACTAGGTGGTGGAACTGGAGCTATAGGTGGTGGAGCTGCAACTGGAGCAGTAGGTGGTGGAGCGGCAACTGGAGCAGTTGGTGGTGGAGCTGGAGTTGTAGAGGAAGATGAATGGGAGATAGTGACTGAATCTCCAAAAAATGAAACTGGTAACACCTCAGAAATATCTAAGTGATTACCTGCACCTGTGAAGTATGATTGAGTTTCAAAGAAGGTAATATTAGCAGACATAAGGTACCGCTGGAGGTCAGGAGAATAGCATCGATACCCTTTTTGCTTTCTCGAGTAACCCAAAAATACACACTTAAGAGCACGAGGAGCTAACTTATCTTTTCCTGGAGTAAGGTTATGAACAAAACATGTGCTTCCAAAGACACGGGGTGGAAGAGAGAACAAAGGTAAGTGGGGAAACACGACACAGAATGGAACTTGATTCTGGATAGGTGAAAATGACATACGATTAATAAAATAGCAAGATGTAAGAACTGCATCCCCCAAAAACGCAACGGAACATGAGATTGTATGAGTAGGGTACGAGCAGTTTCAATAAGATATCTATTCTTTCTTTCAGCTACCCCATTTTGTTGAGATGTGTACGGACAAGATGTTTGATGAATAATTCCATGAGAGTTCATAAACTGCTGAAATGGCGAAGACAAATACTCTAGGACATTATCACTACGAAATGTGCGGATAGAAACCCCAAATTGATTTTGAATTTCAGAGTGGAAGGTCTGGAAAATAGAAAACAACTCAAACCGATTTTTCATCAAAAATATCCAAGTGCACCTGGAATAATCATCAATGAAACTGACAAAGTAGCGGAATCCCAAGGTAGAACTGAGCCGACTAGGACCCCAAACATCTGAATGGACTAAAAGGTGACTCTGCTCTATTATCAAGACGCTGAGGGAAATGGGAGCGGGTATGCTTACCGAGCTGACATGACTCACACTCTAGAGTGTACAAGTGAGATAAGCCAGGTACCATTTTCTGAAGTTTTGACAAACTAGGATGTTCCAACCGCTCATGTAATAAATCTGGTGACTCGGTAACGGGACAAGTTATTGAAGGAAGACAAGATGTGAGTCCATGTGATTTTGCAAGGATAAGATAATAAAGTCCATCTGATTCACGTCCGGTACCAATGATTCGCCCTGTACTGCGTTCCTGTATAAAAACAAGGTCATCAAGAAATAAAACAGCAGATTTAAGTGATTTGGCTAAGTGACTAACGGCTATGAGATTAAAAGGACTACCGGGAACATAAAGAACTGAATCTAAAGGTAAGGAAGGAAGTGGACTTGCTTGACCTATTACAGTTGCCATGGTTTGAGACCCATTGGCCATTGTGACTATTGGAAGCGATTGAGAATATGAAATACTAGTGAAAAGAGATTTGTTACCAGAAATATGATCAGATGCACCTGAATCAATGACCCAAGACTCAGAAGTTGAAGATTGGGAGATACAAGTCGCACTACTATCTGTTTGAACTACGGAAGCTATCCCTGAAGACTGTTTACATGCTTTGTACCGAAGGAACTCAATATAATCCGGTAAAGAAACCATCTGGATTGGATTCAATGCATAGGATCCAACGGATTGTGAGTTAAAGGCTTCAGATATGAATGTCATTATAATGTTGAACCGGAAAAAGCAGATTTTTTCTGAAAATTACTGTTCACGTCAGAAAAATCACTATTCACATCGGAAAAATATAAAAGTAGTCGGAATTTGATTTAAATTGGATGGGTAGGCTCGGAATTGCAAGGGGAACAAGTTGTCCTGAAGAGTCGTCGCCAAAAAATGGCTGGAAGGTGCCCCACGCGCCAGCGCGTGACGTCGGAACTTTGCCGGATTTTTTTTCCCAGCGGCGCGTAGGAGCGCGTGGAGTATTTTCTGACTGAGATTTTTTTATGGGTTGGTCCCCAGAGGCCGATCTACTTCGTGGTGATGTTGGTTTTTGCACAACACTGACCAAAAGTGGATTTTTAGTTGCGGCAGACCAGTGTTTGTTGGAAAAGACTTCCGGTTGACTGATTTCTCTTCCCGGAGTCGCTGTAATTTATGCACAGCGATAAATCTCCCACGATCGCTCTGATACCATGTTAAGAATGGGCCTTGAGCCTAACTCAACCCCAAAAGCTAGCTTGTGAGGTGAGGATTGCCCAGGACCATATAAGAAGACCAAGATACCCATAACCCACCGATGTGGGACACAACTCAACACCCCCCCCCCTCACGCCCAGGCATGCAACTAGAGCGTGGACAATATAAACGGGGGCCCAACATCGGTAACAATAAATTGGGATGGGTCTGGCTCTGATACTATGTGAGAATGCACGGAAGAAAAATCTTATATTGATTAAAGTGTTGTACAACCCTATTTATATACAGTACTTACATAATAATAGGTATCTACTTCCCGATGTGGGACACTAAACATGACTAACTATTTAACAAGGAGAAGGAAGACAAAGAAGAACCAAAGCTTCCATTTGACGATCAGTTGATGTTGGACCATATGTAAACCACAACATGCCCCCCTACCCCCCCTACCCCCCCCCCCACCCCAAAAAAAAAGTTCTTAGACTGTACTGATAAAAGCTGGATAAAAATGAAACCCATATATGGTATCTATCCTTCATCTTGAACACCTAAAACTGTCAAATGCATCCACAATTCTTTAGAGCTAAAGATAGAAGTATCCAGAAGCAAGAATTCAAGCTTTTTCTACATTTTTTGTAGAAGTAATTAACTTATTGATTGACGGAAAAATTCCTGTATTCGAAATGTCTGTATACATCTTTCACAAGAAAGAACCATCAAGTGTCTAAGCATAATGCCAACTAAGCATATTAAAAAATATATAAGCTATTTGATCCTGTTTCCTTAAATCTAAGGACATCCGATGAAAACCAAAGATATATACCCATATACGGATATGTTTATCTTAATAAACATATATTTCTTGTCATATTGTGACAAAATAGTTGTGCCAAAACATTCAGATCTATTAACATCTAAAGAAAACTTCACCCAGAAAGTGCAAATGGATTCATCAGAGAACAATGTGAGAACAAGAACATTTATGAGAAGTATAGGCACACCTGTTGCATCTCTAATACGTTGAAAATCCTCATATTCAAAAACATCACCATTTGCTATAACTGGAATAGAGAGAGCAGCAGCAACATCAGCAATCTCACTCCACTTTGCAGGATCTCTTGGCCTGTCTTGAACTTTCCTATAGTTCAATCAATAAGCATGAGGAAATATCTTATATCACTTGCCCTCAAATTAAAAGCCCCAAATAGAAGAAAGCACAAACAAGCAATCAGTGATGACTATCTATCCGAAACAAAACCAAAAATGACCGATGACCATTGTTATATCTCGCGTTTTCGTACGTTAAAGTTTCGCCGTAAGTTAATCTACGTGGATTCAGGGATGAGATTATTTTTGAGGATATAAGCGTTTATGCTACTTATAACAGGCGATAAATAAAGTGCCGTGAAGGTTAAAGGGTAAACGAATCAAAGAAAATGAGTTTCGTTGAAGATTGACGATTCGGGATAAAATATGGTCCGAGCTATAATACCCGGTATTTATGACTAGTGCCATACAAGGTACTACATGACCATGATAGTAAGGTGTATAAGGTATGTTAAAAGTGAGTAGTATTTTAAGTAAGTTGAGATAATTCTTAATTATGTGGGTAATTGATTAATTATTGGGTAATGGGAGATTGCCTAGTTAATTAAGGAATTATTGGGTAATTAATTAAAGAATTAGATAAAATTTAACCCTCCCCCACGAGGCAGTAAGCCACCCCATGAATTGTGACTCTTTAAGACATTACATTATGCGGCAAGATTATAGATGTAGGATTTGGCATTCTTAAAAACGTGAGTCACATATCCACTCTTAAGAAAGAGTCACATATCCATTCTTAACATATCCATTCTTAAGAAAGAGTCACATATCCATTCTTAACATATCCATTCTTAAGAAAGAGTCACATATCCTTTCTTAAGAACGTGAGTTATATATCAGAACGTAAGATTTGGCAATTATAAGGAAGTACAATGCAATCTTTCTCAAGAATATCATACGGATTGTCCCCTATTTCGATCTCGCCGTTACGTGTTTCGTTTCAATCAACGTGTGTTAGAGGGAATGTCAAGAGAATCGACTCAAGTATGTTAAGGCTATCCCTTCTTTTCTTTTGCCATGAACCATGATCTATACGACACAAATGAAACGAGCAAATGCACAACTTCCATAAATGATTCTATTCATAGAAGTATTAGAGGTGCCTATATTCTTGAATTCCCATGTATCTTATTATCACATCTTCTGTTCATGGGTCTCAGAAAAATACGTAGTTGATAAAGTTTATCCGAAAGGTATATTGATTTTATTAACATATTTTTATGCATTTCAATCATTTATACATGTACATTGACCCATGACCAGATGGTGTTATATACGCGTATATTCATATGTAATTATATGTATATGGGATATGGGAAAAGGTTATGGCGTTATATACGCACCACCACCTTATCAGCTGGTACATGTTGATGATATTGCCAACAGTAGCCAAGATGATATGATGGGATGCCTTCAGAGGCTTGATGATGTTATGTACACCTATACCCATGCATGACACGACATGTATATGCACGTGCATGACATTATAAATGTTTCAGGATTTACAATGTGATTTAGACTTACAGGCGGAATTCTTATTCCATGTTTCATCTATATCTGTTATGTACTAATTTTTATGCCTTACATACTCAGTACATCATTCGTACTGACGCCTTATTTCAGGGGCCTGCGTTTCATGCCCGCAGGTGTAGGTAGACAAGCTGACGGTCCCCCTTCTTAGAATCCTTGATCAACGAGAGTTGGCGTGCTCCACTTGATCCGGAGCTGCTTTTGATTTTGGTATGATATGTTTGTATACATATAGGGGTATGACGGGGCCCAATCCCGTCCTTGTATAGTTGTATATTCTGTTAGAGGTCTGTAGACAGTCATGTATACTTGGGTAGTATGTGGCCTTGTCGGCTTCCAGTTTTGAATATGTAGTTGTCTATAGCAGCCTTATCGGCTCGCCCTACGTATTTCGCACGTATATGTATATATGTATTTTGGACAGGTTTTCCTCACGCATGTTATTCTCGTAGTTCAGCAAATGTTATTCATGTTTATATCTTAGACGCATGCTTAAGGGTATTCGACAGGTAGGACTCGGGCACCCGTCGCGGCCCATCGGTTTGGGTTGTGACAAAAGTGGTATCAGAACAGTTCTGTCCTAGGGTTGTCTACGGACCGTGTCTCGTAGAGTGTTGTTTATGGGTGTGTTGTGCACCACACTAATAAACAGGAAGCTACAGGATATTTAGAATGGTTACTTTTCTTTCTAATCCAGATTGTGCGATAGAGCTGAGTCATAAGTATCCACTCCTAATCTTTTACCTTATTTATGTTTTCAGTGATGCCTATTACTACTAGACGACAGGCGCAAGCCGCTAGCACGGGTCAGAAGGCTACAAAAGTGTTAGAAGGAGATATAAGTTACACTATGGACTCAGACACATCAGAGATCATGGGTTCTATTGAGGAGGATCTATATGAGTCATCCGTTCGAGCTGTTTCGATCACTACGGCAGCAGATGGGGTGAGAGGGGTTCCGACCTCACCAAGGCCCTTAGTTTCATTATCAAGGCTCGTTGATCAGGGTATAAGGGGAGTGGTGCACGGATTGGCACAACCGGATTCCCGTTAGGCTCAAAATTATGTTAGGAAGCTCTTCCGAGGTTCCAGATAGTCCACAGTCTTGGGAGTCCGTCAATCACGGTTCGTCTATGTATGTTATGGGATATGCAGAGGAAGATGATAGTTGTCGGGCCAAGAGGAGAAAGGTAATCGATAAGGATATGAAGATTCCGCTTCGAAGTGTGTCTGATCGAGGCTCTCACATAGGATGAGGCAAGGACCCTCTACTTTAGACTTCCTCCGAATGTCAGCTTTTGGTTGGCGAGCTCCACTCTTCTTGGAGTATTACCAAGTCAGGGTTCTGAATATGTTAGGTTGTTTTATGAGGACGTAGAGAGCCCTTCCCGACTTATATATATTATGGTTATGTTTTCTTAGAAGTTTTGCCGACGGTATCACGTGTATAGTTTTGGGTATGACATGTCTACGGCCTTGTCGACCCCTATGTATCTATATAAACCTTTTTTCTGAATTAGTTATGCAAGTTGAGTCCTAATATTATTACTTATATATATATGTATGGATGTGGCCCGTAATAGGTTTGATAATAAACAAGGATAAGGTACGTGGTGCTCGGTTGGGTAGAACTTGATGTTATAATAGGTATGGACTGGTTGGCTTTTGTTATGTTAACATCGAGTGTAGATCAAAGATGGTTCGATTTCAATTCCCAGGAGAGCCTGTTTTCGAAGTGGAAAGGTAATACGGCATTGGCGAGAGGTAGATTTATTTCCTATATCAAGGCAAGAAAAATAATCATAAAGGATTACATTTATCACTTAGTTCGGGTAAAGGAAGTGAAGGTAAAGTCACCAACCAGGTCAATCTATCCCTATGGTTAGTGAGTTTCCCGATGCTTTTCCCGATGAACTTCACGGTCTTCCGCCAGAGCGAGAAATTGAGTTTGCTATTGACCTACTGCCAGATACTCAACCAACATCTACTCCTCCCAGTAGAATAGGCACCCGTAGAGCTGAAAGAGTTGAAGGAACAACTAAGGGACTTGCTTGAAAAAGGCTTTATCAGACCTAGTACATCACTGTAGAGATCACCTGTGTTATTTGTGAGGAAGAAAAGCAGTTCCTTGCGGATGTGTATCGATTATAGACAGTTGAATAAGGTGACGATAAAAAACAAGTACCCATTCACGAGGATTGATGATTTATTTGATCAGTTGCAAGGAGCCAACTGTTTTTCGGAGATAGACGTAAGGTGCGGGTACCATCAGGTAAGGGTTAAGGAGAAAGATATCCCGAAGACAGCATTCAGGACCAGATATGGCACCTTGAGTTTCGTGTCATGTCATTCGGTTTAACTAATGCCCTAGCAATAATCATGGAATGATGAACCGTGTGTTCAAACCCTTTCTAGATCTGTTCGTAATTGTATTTATTGATGATATATTGATGTATTCTCGTCCAAAGACTGAGCATGCAGATCATTTGCGTATTGTGCTCAGAGTTCTACAAAAAGGAAAGTTGTATGCAAAATTCCCTAAATGTGAATTCTGTAGTTTTCCTTTGGCATATTATTTCAAGCAAAGGTATCCGGGTTAATACACAAAAGATTGAGGTAGTAAAGACTAGACCTAGACCCACGACACCGACGGAAGTTCGTAGCTTTCTCGGTTTGGCAGGTTGTTACAGGAAACTTGTAAAGGAATTTTCTTCTCTTTCAGCACCTTTGACAAAAGTAGTGTGACGACGTGATGTCTCGCTCGATGTTCCAGAATAACATAAGGAAATCTACGGTGCAAGCAAGTTGAACGAAGGTTGCGAATAAGTATAAATAGATATGTGTAGGTCGCAAGCTAAAGTATGGTAGAGCGACAAGGTTTTAGGAAGACAGGAGTAAGGATAAGAAAAGGTGAGTGAGACGGTGACGAGAATGGATAAGTCCTCGGAATTAAGCCCATGAAAATAAGAGAGCTGATTGTTTCTCGAAGTTATAGAAAGCTTAGTTTAGCTTGAATGAACTCAAAGGAGTCTAAGACTAGTAGCATTTAGAAGAGGTGGAATGTTGCCCTGGTAATGGAATAAGGGCGTCATTGTGATGGATAAAGGATGACGTTGAGCCTTTGAAAGGGGGGATTTCATGAATTGTAAAAGATTAGAATACCCATGCAAGTTGACTCAGAAGGGAGCTAAGTTTCAGTGGACTAATGCTTGCAAATGGAGTTTCCAGGCATTGAAGGATAGACTAACTTCAGATGGTTATGCTATCTATTGTGACGCTTCAGGAATTGGATTGGGTTGTGTACTGATGCAGCATGGTAAGATTGTAGCTTATGCTTATAGACAACTAAGAAAGCACGAGAAGAATTACCCGACCCACGATTTAGAGTTGGCCGAGGTGATTCATGCACTAAAGATGTGGAAGCACTACTTGTATGGCATTAATGTTGATATCTATACGGATCATAAGAGCCTTCAGTATATCTTTAAGCAAAAGGAACTG